CCCAAACCCTAAACCCCTAAAGGAACCCTGAACCCAAATAGTATATACTTTGGCCTTAATGTAGTCCCTATATAGGTACATTAAGGCCAATGTACATACTATTTGGGCACATGGACCCTTAGGGTAAACCCTTAAAGGAACCCGGAACCCCAGCAGCCTTGGCGATGCGATACGCCGCCAAGCAGTTTGGCCCTAGACTAACGACCGCATGGAAGACCAGGCCATCGAGGCTCTGAATCATGGTCCCTATACTAAAGGGGGGTTAAGGTTTAGCGGTTTAGGGTTTAGGGGTTTAGGGGTTCAGGTTTCACGGCTTCAGCGTCTAAGGTTTGAGGTTTAGGCCTTACGGTTTGAAGCTTAGAGCTGGATAATGATGACTAACCGTAAGGGTCCAAAGGAACTACGGTTCTTTAAGGGTTGTATTATAAAGGTTCGAGTGAGGGCTGTTAAATGCCCTGGGTCATGGTCCCAAGTATAGAGGAATGAACATTTATGTAAACCCAAATGAAACACATAATAGTGTTGTCTCTTGGGTTTTATAAGGGCTTTCCGTAGCTAAACGGAATGGGGTTTGCTGAACATCTTCCTCAAAGTTGCACATGTACACAACGGGATGTTGTCGCTTGCTAGTCTTGGGCCTCTATGTAGCTGACTTAGGGCACATAGGTTTTGGGGTTGAAAGCATATGGGGTTGGCGGGTTTGGGGTTGACAGTTTGGGTTTAGGCTTCAAGATTGAGGCCTTTGAGATTTGTGGGCTTCTTGGGTTAGGGGTTTACGGCTTGTAGGGTTTAGGGTTTACGTGTTGTGTCGTTTCTGGTTCTAGAGGCCTTGGCTCTTGATCTAAGGCTGCGGCGGCCATGGTGCACGGTTGAGCTGGGAAGTGGAAGCCCTAACCCGGGTTTAGGGTTTAGGGCTTCAGGGTTTAGGGTTTAGGGTTTAGGGGTTTAGGGCTTTAGGGTTTTAGGGTTTAGGGTTTAACCCCGAAAGCCCTGCGCTGGCCCTACACCCCAACCAGATCTCGAGATTCAGACAGGGGCTTCATAAGTGGAATGTGGCTTACCTGTTCAGGGTCCATGTCCAATACATATACCTGAAAAGGGTTCCCATATAAGTAGAAGACAACCGATCCATGCTGCTCCGAAAAAGATAATTCCCTAAGGGTCCATGTGCCCAAATAGTATTTATTTTGGCCTTGATGTAGTCCCTTGAAAGGTACTGTAGGGCCAACGTATAAACTATGTGGGCACAAGGAAAGGAGCCTTAAATCCGAAACTCTAAACCCTTATGGTACCCTTACAGAACCCTTTCAAGGAACCGGTACAGGAGCCCCTTTTTTGGGTGCATGGGCCCTTAGTGATTGGACAACCATCGAAAAGGGCAAACAGGATGCGTGCACACACCCAGCCATCCTGCCTCCGCACAAACATGTACACGATCATTCAATTCGTTGTGTCTCGTCTTGACACTCGGAGGCACAGGCCAGAAAAGGTTTAAGCTTCTGGATCACTTTACTGAGATAGAACCCACTTTGCTTAAACGTGTCCGGTCGTTTTTTGCCTTTTTTCCAAGGGACCATAGAACTCAGGCTTCATTCCTAAACCCTAAGCCCCAAACCCAAAGTCCTTAAACCCTAAACACCGTAAGGGGGTACACTGATTATGCTGCGGACCAGGACGGAACATACATTGACCATCAAGCCCTGAACCTGAAGACGCGCGAAGCCCTCCTCTGCCCTAAAGAAGATAGACAGGAAAACATGAAACACCACATATTCCGTAAATCCTGAACGGTAAACCCCCCTGAACCTTGGCTGTCCAACTACGCTGAACTGCTGGACCATCCTGCATCGCCCAAGGCCCTCACCAAGCTCATCCACAGGCGTTTCCTGCCGGCTTTTCGGGGGTTTGGGGTTTAGGGTTTAGGGGTTAAGGGTTTAGGGTTTAGGGCGGTTTTCCAGCAGCCCAGTGTTCTCAATTAACCCTCCGAGGGTCCATGTTTTTGCAAAGACAAGGTTCCAGTGATATTCAGGAGGGTTTAGGGTTTAGGGCTTAGGGGTTTTAGGCTTTAGGGTTGAGGGTGTAGGATCCCTATGGGTCCATGTACCCAAATAGTATCTATTTTGGTCCCAAAGTACCTATATGGCGACCACCTCAAGGCCAAAGTATATACTACTTGAGTACATGGACGCTTAGGGTAAGCGAGGTGTATCCCTAATCCTATATGGGGGTTTCCGAAAATAGGGGACCCTAAATATAGCAGCCTAGATAGTAGGATCCTTATTATAAGGACCCCTAAATAAGGTACCCCCCTATTTTCGGAAACTCCCATACATACAAAATAGTTGCCCTTATCTCATTGCCTGAACCCTGGACTTAACACCCCCGACTCTAAACCCACTTAGGGGTTTAGGGTTTAGGGTTTAGGGTTTAGGGTTTACGGTTTAGGGTTTAGGGTTTAGGGTTTAGGGTGACTTAGAAATCTTGGGATTTAGTAAGTAAGGCTATAGCTACCTCTATTGGCTTTTAAATAAGTAGAATAACATGGCTACCTTACTTACAAGCCTAGTGGCTAAGTCCCACCATCCTCTAACCCTAAGGCTCAAAATAGCCCGAAAGCCTTATGGGCAGTTGTCAAAATTAGGGTCCCTTTGGGGGTACCCTAAATAATAGGTGCCGTATTATAATAAGGACCCAAAAAGGGACCATAATTTTGACAACCACCCTTATATTGAATGGTCTTTTGGCCCCAAACCCTCAAAATAGGAATCCTTCGAGCCTTAGTCTAGGACATTTGCAGGTGGGTAGATGCCGTTATAGGAGCCTTATAGAAAGTCTATATACCTTATAGAAGCCTTATAGAAGCCCTATATACCCTAAACTCCCCACCTGTAGTTTCCTTTAACTAAACCCTAAACCAAACATCCCGGGGTCTTCGGATGAGGGGCTCGGGCGCTGGAGTGTAGCTCCTCGTCCGTTTGGGGAATTACGGCTAATGTAGGGCCTTATAGGTTGTGAACCCCTGATTATCAGGTCTGACGCGTACAACACTACGGCTTCAGATGCATAGGTATACCGCACAGAAACGCTCTAAAAGGAACTCCAAACCCAAAGGGTTTAGGGTTTCAGGGTTTAGGGTGTAGGATTTTGGATTTAGGGCTAAGGGTTAAGGGTTTCAGGGTTTAGGGTTAGGGTTTAGGATTTAGGGTTAAGGGTTAAGGGTTTAGGGTAGCCCTAAACCCTAAACCACAAACCACCAAACGCTTCCTGGGCCATGGCCGCATCCGAGGCAGCCGAGTGCCCCGAGGTCTCGGCAGCTGTCGTCGTTTTTTTTTTTGGTGTTCCTTTATTAGGTTTAGGGTTTAGGGTTTAGGGTTTGTGTTCCTTTAAGGGTTCCTTTAAGGGTTTCTTTAAGGGTTTCTTTAAGGGTTTCTATAAGACTATAAGGCTTAAGGGTTTAGGGTTTCAGGGTCCATGTACCCGAATGTACATACTTTGGTCTCAAAGTAGTCCCTATGTAGGTACTTTGGGG